ATCACTGATGCTATTTTTAAATGTAAAACACACATAATAATGGCAATAATATCTCCTCATGGGAAATGTAGAATTGAAAAGAACCAAAAGAACCATGAAGAAAGAGTGGAGCCTATTCCAGGTAGCCAGGGGGGCGCCCTGGACTGGATGCCAGTCCATCGTCATGCACAAGCTAGGATATTATCAATTGCTATTTTAAAATATAACGCAAAACACACTGCATGATTTTTTAAAGCTTTTTCTTTAACTTGAATAAAATTAGGTCATTAAAATAAAATATTGGATAATTTAATGGCATTAAATGACAGCTAGGGGTAGCTTGTCATACTTCGCTGTGATGTTTTTGTAACCAGATATTTCATCTTAGTTTCACCGCAGGTAATTATCTAAGGGAAACTGATTTGAATGAAACTCTCTCTCTACGTCAGCAGGATTTAGTGAAACAAAACCTTATGAAAATACCTGCTATTACAACACGGAGGAATACGAATACAAATGTTAAGAAGCGGACACAGTGAATTTACTTGCAATGCTTCTTTCACATTTGTCCAGGAATGATTAAGAAAAAAGGGACTTAAAACATTATTCCATCCATCTGGATCTGCAGAGGATAATGATTCCATAAACGCTGCAGAGGCTGACAGTCACATAACTGGATCAGCTACAGATTGCCAGCAGGGGGCGGTACTGTAGCCCCTCTGGCCGGGCGAGAGCCGCACGGATGCCATAAGTCAGTCGCTTTCTCTCAGCTCCATGCTCTGATATGATGCCGTCTCTGAAGCTTCAGAGACTTGTCTCGCCCCCGCGCCCCTCATGGATTTCGGCATTGGCCTGAGCCGCATGCAAAACGGGCCGCTGACCTCTTTGCCTGTCCAAGCCTGAAGCTGGCCCTGGGCTCGGTCGGGCGTGAACCTCGGTGGTGCCGCCGTCCCAGAGGAGGCCGAACCTCTAGGTGGACCGGCTGCATGGCTCCAGCCCTCACGTCCAGCCACTCCTGCCAGGTGCTGGGAGTTTGATAAGGAGGCAGACTGACGGGCTGAACCCCATCCTATGTCTGCCGTCTGCTCTGAATGTTTAATGAGCCCCTTGAAAAATGCATGACCTGAAAACCAAACAGGAAGTCAAAGCGGGGCAGGAAGTAAGCGTGGTGGGAGTGCAGGGCGTCTCGGGGGGGCATCTCGAGGAGGCTTCTGGATGACAGCAAGAGCTGGACTGGGTGCTGCGCTCCCCCCCACTTCCTCTGAAACATCAGATGGACTGTCGTGTGGAAGTGATCAGGTACTGAGAGCTCTGGATCGGTCCATTTCTGCCTTTGGGGGGACGAATGGAGTGTTAAAAGCGATGTCTTTAACAGGAAGTCTTGGTGAAAGAATAGAAAGAGTGATTGAGGCAGCGTGGGGTGTAATATGCAGCACACATCAGGCGTGGGCTAGAAATGCATTTATTCATAAAACCATATAAATAAGATCCACAGTGTGAGCACAGCTGAAGGATTTTGTATGTTTGCATTATTTTTACCTCACTTTAGTCATCTCCATCCATGCCAGACTGACCCCCCCCCCCGCGTATTTCTATGCGGCTGGTTCCCTGGCGACGGCAGACAGATGATGGACAGATGACAGGTGAAGCTGGTCTGGGAGACACGGCTTTGTTTTGCCCTGCTAGCCGTCTGCTGATCACAGCCACAAACTGCCAGATATCGTCTCATTAAGGATGAGTGCCGACTGTTACGTGAAGCGGCTTATCGCCACATCCTGCTTGGCCCCTTCTACTTGTCCTATCAGGCTTGGCCAGGCGACGCTTATTTGTTTAGTGCTAATCAGAGCCAGAATCACTTCGACTGACACATCAGGGACCGAAATGTGCTTTTGTGCACTTGGAAATTGCTCAGTGCTGATAGGTACACAGACATCGCTGACATTACACACGTTAACATAAGGTTCAGGAAAGGAAAAAAAAATCTCTCTCATTTATAGAAGACATTCAAGTCTTGAAAAGTATTGAATTAGTATTTTTACTTATTTTTACTTACAATTTCTTTTTGAAATACAGGAATTAAGTGATGGAGCACTTGACACTTTTACCAGTACCCAGTACCCAGTACTAAGCAAATCAAAGGACTGCTACTAAAAGGCATCCAGAACACCTGAACAATGCAATTAATAAGGACAGGCTTAAGAATACATGGCCAATTTGGTCATCTCCTAGAGTACTGAGTAATCAACCTTAACGATCCAGTATTCATTTGTCTGGCTCTTCCTATAATTTGGTCAAGATCAAAATTATCTTCTCTGTTTTTGCACAACTGAATTTTTTACAGCAAGCCTTGAACTAAATGGTATGTTTATGTTCCTGTCTCGCTACCAGTTTGCAGTTTACTCATTTGCTTGTGAGCTGAATAAAGAAGCAGGTTTTTAAATCAGAAGCTTTAGAATTACTGATTAATAGTCATTTTTGGAACTGACATTTAAATTTTTTAATTAATTATAAAGAGTCATTGTTAATGAGATTTAATATAAGCTTTTCCTGTCTGACCGGATCTATTTTTACCTGATTAAAATTCTGTCTTTAAGCAATAAATTTTCAATGGCTACAGCGTATGAAAAATATAGCCGGCTGCTCCGTTGTATCACATCTGCCTCCCCCTCACTCTCTTTGGACTTCAGCCAGGTGTGAACATGAATAAGAGCGGTCTACCCCCCCCCCC